CACACACACACACACACACACACACACACACACACACACACACACACACACACACACAGGACAGGATGTATGACAAAGATACCACTGGGGAAGGAAAAAGGACATCCTCAGGCATTCTGTAGTTCGACTACAGTAAGTGACATTTCCTTGGCAAAACAATCAGGGATGGATGTTTGTTTCCAGAATTTCACGTTTTTCAGACTCCTGATCTTTTCCGATGGGATCCTGCTGATGTCCTGCGTCTCTTTATTTTTAAAAATCTCATTGTGTTTGCGTTCTGATCCTCAATGCTGCCATCACCCAGGCTTAGATGAATCATCTAGCACCGGAGTGGTTGTACTTTTAGTGTTGCACTCTTATTGTGAGGGCGTGATGGGCCAGCTGCAGCATCACAAACCACGACAACTGAACTGACTATAACGTTTTTTGTTCTTTTTGAAATGTAGTCATGCCATATTCAAGCATGACTTTACTCTCTTTGTGCTTAGGATGATACAACAGATCTGGGATTGAGGGGAACGAGTGCTGTAGGACTGAGAAGAACAGCACATACATGTGTCACATGTGGTTTCAGCAAGTTAATCTCTGGATTAAAACACCACATTCTGCGCTTAAGGGAATAGTTTGACATTTTGGAAACCAGTTGTAATTAAAGCACAACAGCTTAAATGTATGTTTTATAACCATCAGAGCCTCCAAGAAAGAGTCTGACACACAACTATCTGTAAAACTTGCTGATTTTACATTCAAACTTTTTGTATGGATTCAACTTAGACCCTCTGATGGATGGTTTCTGGTGCCTTCTAAGACAGCCAGACAGGCCATTTCTACTGCTTCCAGTGTTTACGCAAAGCTAAGCTAACCACATCCCGCATCTAGGTTACATTATTATTTATCACACAGACATCGACGCTATTGCACGTCTTAGCTGTGTGTGCTTCCTAAAATGTCAAACTTTTCTTTACAATTTTATAAATCAGACTCGTCACATTGCTGAACTGACATACATAGTGGAAAAAACACAAACCCAAAAACCCACAAGTCCCATGTTTTAAAAAGTCAGCATTAATGTTTTACCTTTATTCATTTTTTTTGGGAGTGATTTTGGATGTTTTCAATAGAGTTGTACGAGTTTTGGCATTTGCTTTTGCACATAAATGACAGGCAAGGGAGAGGTGATTGTACTTCGCTGGCAAACTAAAATCCATAGTTTACATGCTCTTTTTTTTTCCTTTTTCTTTTTTATTACAAAAATAGCTTAAATGGAGTTTCAAAGAGCATGTGGTGAGGCTTGATTGAGCCATAACCAAGCTCACACTTTTCGCTATAGCAGACATCTTAAAAGAGACGAGTGAGACTCCACATTTTAAGGCATATGGGCACCAATTTAAATGGTATTGGATTGATTTTTCAGTCCTTGATGTAACACGGACCGCTGGCTAAGGTTCTGCAAAGAACAAGAAAGAAAAAAATAAAAAATAAAAAAAAATAAAATCACACTACTCCAAGTGCACTGTAAGTAAAAATGAGCCAAAATCTGACTGGAATAAGACTCAGTGGGTTCCCGGTTCAGGCGATTTTAGGCACTGTTTGAAATAATGTTTGAAAGGAGCAGGGGCGGATGCTAGCGTGACTTGAGGCACCGTCTCATTCAGTGAATGAATCATAGCCCAGCACCCTTTTGATGGTGGATCAATTTAAGAGAGAAAAATAAATAGGATGAAAGCTTGAATCTTTGGGATATTAGACGAAGATTAAGATGAGTACCACGTTTGCCTCGGTGAACAAAGAAGACGTTGATGGTGGAGAGCTATGTAGACTATATACATGAGCTTTACTATAAGCTGCAGTACAGACAACAAAAGGCCTAGGCGCACAAGCATGCACATATACCATCAACGCACACACACGCGCGCACACACTAACACACATGCGCAAAGAGATGTAGTGTTTGATGTCTCGTGTTGCTGGAGTTGAGCTGAGCGGGCCTGATATTGGAATAGAGTATAAACAAAATGGCCACGCGTACATCAAAGGAGAGAATGAAAAACAGGACAAAGAAACATTTCAAGTTCTTTGACGCCGAGTCAGTGTACAAATATAACAATATAAAGTACCTGCATATGTGATACATGACATATAGGTCAGCTATAAAAAAAAAAAAAAAAAAAAGGCCCCCTGAAAAAGAGTGCTCTCTCACTAGAAACAGAGCAAATGGCCACGTGGAGAGCTGAGAGAACTGTCTGCCGTAAGGGGGAGCTTATCTTCCCAGGCCGTTCAGAAAATGCACCAGCAGTTTTTTTCTTTTTTGGCTTATTTCAGTGTCTGGAATTTGTAGAGAAACCCAGAGAAAACAAGGCAAGAGAGTAAGCAGCCATGACCACTTGTCCCTTCTGTTCGTTTCCCCATCCTTCCCTTTCCCTGTCCTTGCATTGGGTTTAGGTTTGAGTCGTGTCCCTCTGAGGTTTCCAAGCACGGCCGCTCAGCTCAGGGCCTTGTGTCGACCTCCGCAGCAGCCGCATGAAAGCCCTACCCGGTGGCAAGCGTGGAGAGGTGGGTAGAGGCAGAGGCAGGGCGCCACCAAAGACAAACCAAACAGGGCTAACCAGCGCGTGCCCAGACAGCCTCCCCCGCTACCCTCGCCCCCGTCACAGGAGCAGGGGTCTGAGTAGTCCCCCTCTGGGTCAGACATGCAGTGGTAGAGCATGGTGTCTGCCAGCCACATGCAGCTGACCCGCCGGATGCACGTGCGCACCGGGTCTGGAGCATCCTGGCACCTACCTCTCCGGTTGCTGGAGAGGTAAAAAGCCTCACCGCAGTGCTCACACTGAGCACGCTCCATTCTGTCATCTTTCCGCCCCTTCCCACCATTGGTGGATGAAGAGGAGCTCGGGAGTAGGGAGCGAGGCTGACTGGACACCACAGACGGGAACTGCTGGCGATACGAAACGTTTTGGCCCTTACTGTTTAAGGGTCCAAGGGAGGGATCAGAGTCTGAGGGCGACAGGGCCGGTGCCAGCGGGTACGTGTAGTCGTGCTTCTGCGCCTCTGTCTTGTCAAAGTGGACATTGGGCTCAGGGTCGTCCATGTTGATGAATTTGTCACGCACTGTTGTGTGGCGGTAGTCCTCGTAGCCGGTGAGCCAGGAGCGATCTGAGTGGCGTCCACGATGACGCTCGGCGGGCCGCTCCCAGCTGCGCTCCCGAGGGTTGATGCGGACGATTTCCTCGTCCTCGAAGGTGACATGGCGGGGAATCCGAGACAATGGCTAAACAACAGAGAGAGTATATAACATAAACAACACTGGCAGTAATTCACTCATAAAATATATGTATAAAATATGTATGGATACAGCTTAGCCGTGTTTGTCTCACCTGGTCCAAGTAGTAGTGGTCTGAGAGCCGATAGGGATCGTGGCGAAATCCCAGCGGGCACTTGTGTCTCTGGGGAAGGGGCGAGGACTCGAGCGGCTGCAGAGAGGTCTCCAGTTTCTGGGAGGAGTTGGATGAGCTGTCTGTGGTATTCTGAGGTGACAAACAAACACAGGATGCAGGCTGAAAAGCTGATTTCTGATTGCACACGTCAAACAAATAGCGAGAGAGGACACCCTGATTGGACAAACAAAAACAGGAAGCCTCCATGCAGCACTGATTGGAAAAACAGGAAGTGTGAGCTCTGTTTTCCAATCCACTTTTGGATTGCTATATGCGAGTTAAGCTTTTACTAACAACATCTGCCACAAAGAATCACTTATGAAAACATTGCAGTAACCATCACACCTAAAATCACAATTGAATTAACCACTTTGATTTAATTAATTTTTTTAACATATTTTCACAGCAAAAACTCTTATTTGACTCAGTATGAATATATTGTCTTGTATATTCATATGAACTGGGTATTTGACAATAAAAGTAAATGGGAATCAGTTAAATCAACATTTTTTAAAATGGCTGAAAACAAGAAACCTAAGCATTCATGAAGTAAGATCAAGTGACTGATACAAAATATTCCTAAATCCAAAAAAGTGGAAACAGAAGCATCCTTTAAAATGTTTTTTTCTGTACACACACCATATCCACACGCTCACCTTTTAAGCCTCTACACATCATCTCCTTCTCCCCAGTCAACCTGTCCTCCTTTCCTCAATCGCACTTTCTCCACATTCCACCTTTCCTTCTCCCTTTTCCACCTCTCCACGCATGTGTGTGCACATGTGAACAGTATCCCGTCTCCTTTCCGCTAAAGTCTATCAGGGCTCCAGTCCAACTCAAACACTGGCCAGACACAAGACAGTCAGACCGCTGCCGATTTCAGACATGCACAATGGGGGGTCAGCCTCCGTTAGCCACCAGCTGATAGGCAAGGACTCCTTTTGTCTAATCATATCAGCATTGTAATATGAGAGCATGTATTGTAGATGTGTTTAGCCGCGGGGCAAAGGGTGCAGGTGTTTCTGTTTGAGAAGCTGTGCTTGAAATGTATCCTCTGCATTTGTCTTGCTTTGGGGAAGACTGGTCACAAGAAGTCAATGGCAAGAACGATTTTTTGCATGTGTTACTTTTTCTTGACCATCTTCTCTTAGCTATCTGCAACAGCTGTGAGATTTCCAACATCTTTTCCCAGAAATGTTATTTCACAAATTAGATTAGATTTTTTTTTTTTTAAATTCAAACTATCCAACTTCTCTTCAACTATTACTGGACAGATATACAAAAAGCTAGATCTGCCTTAGAGAGGGGTGGCTGTAGATGCAAGGAATTTTCTATTAATGGCAACTACTTTTGTCATTTTGGAGATATAATAAAGTGTCCTTGAGCAAAGCAATGAACCCAGAATTGCTACCGTTGGAGGCGACATTATGTGTATAGGCAATGGTCATGCCTTTGAGCTTACATGCTTACACTAACATGCCAACATGCTAATGATAATATTTCTAAACATGTAAAACTCTATGCTTACCACTCCAGCTGTTAGCATGCTGTCCTTACATAATACAGCTAATTGTGCAATTCAATATATTAAAATCTCTGAATTGCTTACAAACAAATCACAGAAAACAAACACAAAAATAAACCACACGAACAAACGCCAATCAAGGCATGATTGGTGAATGAACTTCTAGAAGGCAAGATAAAGAGAAGTTCACACCTCATTCAATAACAGAAGTTATGCATTTCATCATCATTAACACTGAATATCAGAGAAATCTCTGAATGAAAGAAACAAGGTCAAGACCAAAAATAATCGGCTGTGATCTTTGGGTCTGAAGTGGAAATCACTTCACAGGCTCAGGAACACTTCAGGTAACATCAGGGAGGTGATTTAAAACTGTCCTGTGCAAAGACCTTTTGCACATACTGGGATTTTGGAGGATGCAGAGTAGGAGTAGCTCATTTGGACACCATATCCTCCGGGCTAAGAGGGGGCAGCCTGTTCAGCTTGTTATCAGATCTCAGGACCTGTGATATTGTGACATTATAAAACTGAGCAACTGAAATTCTGTGGTGACCAAGAATGTGAAAACATTATGCTTTCAAAACTACAGCAAGTAATCCGGGAAAGATGTCTCATCCTGTACTTTGGGAAATATCTTAATGGATTTCTGTACCAACACCTGATAGTTTGTTTTCAAATGAAATGCGAGGTTTTAAGGATTTGCAAATTCCACTTTTATTTGGAAGCTACTGACATCATTTAGAATTTCTAAAACTATTCCTAAACTATTCTCCCCCCCCACCAAAAAAATATAAATATTTTGCACTCCAATAAGCCTAAATCCAATGCTGCAAACTATTCTGCAGAACTATATGACCCAGATCTGATATTTTTGTGTGTGTGTGTGTGTGTGTGTGTGTGTGTGTGTGTCTGTCTTGCTGAAGCTATCCCCATTATATCCTACTCCCCACATGGATACTGCCATGCTGAGAATTTCCCCTTAGCTTTCTTACAAAGCCCTCAGAGCAGCCTGCCAAAAATAACATAACATGCTGCCTCAGCTTTGGGCTCCGCCCCCTGGCGAAGCCATTATTGGGGGAGGAGTTGATATGGTTGAAACCAGTCTGACTCTGGCCTCCATGGCTGCATCTAATTCAAAACACAGACCAGACTTTCAGCTGCAAGCTCAGACTGCACAAGAGGACAGGGAGACAAAGGGAGGAGTTGAGGGGGAGAGTTTGTATTTCTGGACATCCTCTCTCTCTATATATTCTGGTCCAAGGCTGGACAGAGGGCATTTCAAGTTATTTTCTGACACAAAACATGCCCCGACTCAAAGCTCGGGAGGATTCATCCTTCAACGGGCCTGTCTCGCTCTCCTGGGATGAGCCCAGAATTGCATCTATAGCTTTCACTCCCCCTGTTGTGAATGAGCCAAAATAGAGACAGAGAGGGGAGATGTGCTGAAGGGAGGGACAGAGGAAGGGTTAGGTTAAGTTTAGGTTTGGCGAACGAGGAATCATTTAGGGAAGTATGTCCATCCTATCCCCCAAGCCCATCCAACCATCCTCCCCCATCCCTCCAAAGGCTGTAAATTTGCTCCAGCATTTCCCTCTGTCTACGACCGCCTGCCTCACTAACTGCCACCGCCGCCGCTGCTAACTTTAGGAAAGGTCATTAGCACAGAAGAAGAACACAAGCAGCACTAAACCCCTCATGTTCCACCTGTGATTTTACAGTCATGACACTTTGCAACGTTTCATTAGAAGAGGAGTAACTTTTTGACATGTTCTATAAGGCTGTTGTTGTTATATTCATGTTTAGGGGTTTTATATTCCAATATGCTATGCAGCAGTCGTCAGGTAGAAAAATACAGAGATGTTGAGAGAGAAACCCTAAAAATGGGCAGGGAAGACACAAATCGAGGCAGTAATTGTTTCCCCCTGGTTTCATTCATGAGTCCAGTTGGATCCTGACAATAATCGACTGTCTTTCTGAATGTCTGTGGGGAAATATTCCCCGTAACTTTTATTTTTTTAATATCTGGCACAAGCATAAGATTCAGAATCAGACCCAACATGTAGCCTATTTTTGTTTTTAATTCCACTATGTTTTTTAGATCACAAATACAGACTGTGTCCTAGTATTTCCTCTTATGCAGTCGCATGCTATGTGCAGGTCTGCTGGCTGTTTGCTGTAATCTTGTGGCATTTTTCAGCACAAGTTTTAAAAGCAGACATGAGGCAATGCATAATATTTCCTCAGGCAGGCTTTGTTGGTTGCTAGCACGACTCATGCACCAAACAGGGTGAGCCTTGTGCTAAAAAATAGTTTATATTAGGCCACAAGGGAAATGGAAAAATCGAGGCTATCACACTGTTTTGTTTTATAAGTCAGTGGGGATTTAACTGAAATGGATGTGGGCTTTCTGGGTCTTCATTTGTGGAGAAAAAAGGTCAATTTTATGGAACAATACCCATGAATTGCCGTGGATTTGTTGCACTTTTAGCCTCTCTGTTAGCGAAAACCTGCTGCTCCATTTCAGGGGATTGCTCCGCCCTCCGACAGTGCTTTAGTCCCCCCACTCCTCAAGTGTTTGTATGCATCTCTGTGGTGGCTGTGTGCTCCCAGCACAGCACCTATTAGTCTTGGCCCGTACAGACAGCTCGAGTCAAAGATGAACCACGAGGCACTTCCTCTCGTAAATCACCGGCCCTGCGCTAAGCTGGGAAACAGCTGCTAACTGCTAGTTTGGTAGTGTTTCTCTGTTTCAAATGGGAGAGGGATGGCGCGGGTGGGGGAGGGGGGTGGGGTCACCAGGAGAGTGGGAGCTTTTGGGACACAGGAAGTGACCTTGTGACCCTGCCTGCTGGCCCTTGTGTCAGATTACGGGAGGGTGTGTGTGTGTATGTGTGCATACATTTCCTGTACTGTGGCAGGTATAGATGACCGGCAGCGAATACTCGGTGAACTCCTGAGCAGACCTAATTTTTGAATGATGGATGAAATAAATTTGATCAGTGTGTGCTCCACACCAGATCCTAATTCTGCCGCCTCCTTCTCCAGTTATGAAGAGTGGAACTTCTAAGATAGGACTAGTGCAGTCAAGGTAACACACATGGAGGTTTACACCTAAAAAGCCATTCAGACTAACATCCGACCTGCATTAAAACAAGGCTTGTAGCTGTGCTGGAAAAGGCGTGTTGTTTAAAGTACTGGATAGACATGAAATGTGATCCAGGAAGTCCAGTTTCAGCGTTTTAACCCCTAATGAACGGCACAGCACTGTGCAACAGCTTATAATGTTCACAACAGCGTTTTATAACTCTAGAAAGTTATCACAGCAGCAATTATTTTCTGTTTTGTTGCACTGATAGTTAGGTAAACACAGTGTGTACAAAGTAATCCAGGAATGTGTTCCTTTCCAGATGACATTGTGAGAAATGATGCTGTGTTGACAAAAACCTGGCTCAGCTTTTGCCTTTGAGTAATACCACACAGACCACTGAGGCACACTACTTCTGTTTACCTCATGATGGTAGTGAGAGATTAATTTTCAGAGCAGTGAAGTTCTCACACACAACATTAAAAAGGTTTTGCAGTGGTTTGATGTCTGAAAAGCTCCAACTCTGTCTAATCTGTAGTACAGAGCAGCTGGCTGAGTCTACGGCCAGTTGTTTTTATTTAGAGCCTTTTACTGCATGATTTTTATCACTGTCAGGGTGTTGGTTTAGTTTGTTTGTGTTAGCAGGATGACTCAAACGGATACGAGATTTGCATGAACATTTTACCAGAGATCGGGCCTTAAGCATTTGATTTGGATCTTTCCATTCAGAGTTGATGTGTACTTTGCCAGCAGAGAGCCTACAGAGCACAATGCTCGACGTGGATGACGCTGTGAACTGGGATGAATAATTTTGATGATCTTTTGGATCTAGCAGTTCAATTGTAGTGGTGACTAGAGCCACTAGGTGTTGGCTTCTTCTTTTCTGTGGTGGAGACTAAAGCTGAGAGTTGTATACAGACATCACAGAGACTTTTATTATGTATGACCAGCGATTATGGTGCTGTGAAGACCTGACATTGTATAGATGATATTATCCGTGTGATCCTGAAGCCCATTTTAGGTAAGCTAGCCGTATTTTGTTGCAAAATCTTTACGCACACAACCACACATTCAATCTACTGTGTCCACAACAAACTGAAACTTAGTAATGCCGCCTGCTGTGAGTCAAAAGTTGTGACCATCATAGTTATTAATGCAAAATAAAGTGCTTACAGTAAAGACGTCATCGTCACCCAGCTCCCCCTCATTCTGGAGTGCCGTAGAGGAGGTCGTGGAGCCTACAGACAGGAGAAGGGAATAAACTTTATTTCAGGTTGTTTAATTTTTACATACAACAAAGAATCTTTTGACGTCCTTTGATAACGTCATGGCAATCAAATAGCTCCTGACTTCCTCATCCTGTCCCTTACCAAAATTTTTTAACTTGACAAAAAACAAACTTTACTTTCTGGTACACGTTCCTCCACATACTTAACCTTCATTCATGTCCTTGCCAAGACTAACTGGTTATACCGGTGGATTGTGTTATGCTTTAAAACTTCAAACCTTGAACCAGCTAGTGAGTGTCTTATTCATTAAGTAGTGTGGTTTCCTTTTCTTTATGTAGTCGGAAAGACGCAAACAATGGTTTAGTCATAACTAGAACGTGGAATTCCTGGAGAAATAGTAGCAAGCTGCTGCAGCTTTTAAAGTTCAGGAGGAGCATGGGATTGAAACAAGAAGTCTGCCTTTAGTGGACTATGGTGGGCACACATACAGCTGTGGTCAGACGGCTACATACACCAATTATGTACATGAATGTGACGGTAATTTTCGGCTTTGATGATTTCTTTGAACTGTCCTTTTTCCAATGATTAGCATACATCTTTAATGACTTTAAAAGCAGACATGATAAGTGTACCTAAACTTCTGACCACAGCTGTAGACTGTATATAAAAGATGGACTTAGCCACCCATCACCCATGACCTAGTAAGGTTTGTTGTAAAGACTTGAGACGAGCATTTGCTGTCTTATGTTTCTGAAACCAGACCTCGAGAAAACAAAGCAGTGAAGTCTACAAAGACCGTATGCCCACTAAGCATATCTTGCTTTATCTTTCCCAGATAGGTACCATCATCTATAAAACAAATGTCCTGTTTTATACAGTAAGACTTGAAACTAACAAATGAGCCCATTAACCCAACAGGAGACTGTTTACTGACGTCGATTTCTTGACAATAAAGCTTTTCAGCTTCGGTTTGGGTGTGTTTAATTAGAGACTGAGCATATTTTAGCTCTGCAAGCTTTATAGGTGCTAGGACAGGTCTCTCTCTGTCTTGTCAAAACATTTGAATAGTTATATTGCAGCACAGTTTACCTTCAGCCAGGTCATCAATTGCCTTTCGAACTCCCCTGTCGAAAGCTCTGGCATCAGCTGGACTCTGGAAGGATAGGCCGCACCTTCTGTCTTCCACCTTCCAATGGTGAAACGTGGGCGTCGCTATGGTGTACACTAGATCCTTCCTCAGCGGGCAATCCAGGATCACCTGTTGATACGACACGCACCAACCATGTACAACATGGATCCATTTCTGATCTTTAACAGACACGTTGTTGCTCACATTCATGTATGCGTGTGTGTATTTTACCTGGTTGTCCCGCATTCGTTCACCACGGATGAAGAACTGGGAGCTGGTGGAGCCCAACACAGGTGCCAACTCTGTCGGCAGCAGGCGGCACACCCCTACCCTGCTCAGAGCTCCCCCGTCCTGATTCAGCCACCCACCGCTCGAGTCGTCCCGCGTCATCACCACCGCTTTTACACGTACGATGTAGCTGTCACTGCACAGAAAGGAAGAGAGAAGATATTAGCACAAAGATGACTGCAACGTAAAAGTGTTTATATTATACCAGACAGTAGAGTGGTGATTCCAATAGATGATAAGCTCAGGATCTAATAATTTTTAACCCTTGTATTATGCTCATTAAACTTAAAACATGATTTAAAATAAAAGCATCATCCATTATGTGAGTAGTGTGATTTTGGAGAATGTTGAGGCAGAAAGAAAATTCTCCGCAGCTATAAAGTTACACAACTTAATGCTTTAGGTTACTGGAAACCCCCTCAAAACCTTCACTGCTGTTTATAGACTTTTTGTAGCTGCAGTCATAGAGGAACCTTAATCATATCAAAGCCGAAGCCAGCAAACTATTCTGTATTTAACAATACAAGCCTAAAATGAGTTTGTCCACAGTCAAACTGAGCTAAGCAAATTAGTGTGTACGCTAATATACTGTGAAGCGTAACTGTTTCTAAAATAGCATCAGTAAAATTTATAGCCGTATCTATCTAATCTCTTCATCAGATTCTGGTTTTGCTGCAGTGCAGTCCAGTTTGCTTGAAATGTGGCAACATGTCGAATGACAACCATTTCCTTCCACAGGAAAACCAAAGAAATGTATGAATACAAGATAACGCAAGGTCAAAGCAAAATTCACATGATTGCAAACCGAAAAATAACAGTAATATTTTCCACGCGACACAATAACTCTTTGGATAAGAAAATAACATCTTATCCCATCTTGTGAAAATTGACAATGCTTTTCTTAATGTGCATTAAGAGTTTATTCTAGAGCAGGAATCACACCCTGGCAGACTGTTTGAGGGCGTTGCAAGTCACGACTTTGCCTGGTCCTCGCTGTGCTCAAGTAGGAGGTGTTGTACCAGGACAAGTCAGTTGAATGCACACACACAAACAACCCCAAAGTTTAATGTAAATTTAATATGGTGCTATGTTGTTTTAAAACTTGTTTAAAAGTTAAACTGCTGCCATTTTAACATAAAACAGTCCACGTATTTAATAAAATGCTGTTTCAGCCCATCATCTCCTCACTAACCTCATCATATAGCTCATCACTTCTGCTCCATATTTTCCTGGAGTAACCCTCTGATTATTAGTGAAAACATCCCTTATCTTGTCGCTTTAGTGGTTGTAAACAATAAGAACTTCCCTATTTTCATATTACATGTCATATCACTTTATTTCTCTACCATCACTATAAATTAAAATAAAATTGCCTACAACAGTGGGGAGATTTGAGTGGATGTGAAGTTTTTGCAAGTCATCAAACAACAGAAAATTTAGGTTCATTATTTGATGTTCATTCACAAATTGCCTTTCCTCTTCCGTGAAGGTTAGATCCACTCATAAAATGTACATATTCCTCTTTTGTTTTTGAGAAATATTTCTGGACACGTGTGAATACAAAGAAAATGATGCAAAGTGCTGTGAAAAGCATGCTAAAGCAACAGGTGGTAATAGAACCCTAACCCTATAGAAGTGTTGTGTATTTAGAAGCCTACAAACAGTAATGCAGCCCACAGTCTGACCTGAAAAAAGGGAATGAACGTGCACATTTCTGATGTTGGAGACATCTGGAAAGTCTTAACTCTGGAAGGAATTTTTCAAACGTTCAGTTTTCAGTGACTTAAAATGCATAGAAGTAAGACTAAAATACTTAGAAAAAAACAGTATGTTTTCTAAAACACCCATGTACATGTGGCAGGGCGTTAGTATGACTGTAAACTGAATTCCTTTTTTAACAAAGGGAAATTTTAGAAATAGTGTATACTTAAAAATTGCTCTCAACTGCCTGACTGATAAATCCACTAGGCACATATATTGTGTGCTCACTTAAAATACAGGACTTTTTTTTTTTATCGTACTGTTGGCGAGTTTTTGCAGACACGTCAGCATCTTGCATGCAAACTGCAGCAATTAGTGGTAATAAAATAAGTCTTGAAATCGCATTTTCTGCAAATTTTTTTTAAATTCTTGTTAATAAACGGGAATTAAAAAAAACAATTTACCAATTACTCGTACAAAATGGCTGCAGCCTAGTTAGAAGTCCCACGTTATCCATGTTATGTCTTTTTGTTCTTTGTGCCTAAGTCTGCACCATTTAGATGAGACAACATTGGATTGGAGCCACAAGTTATACAAGCTGACAGATAATACAGTTTATTCTATAAGAAGTACAAAGCAGATGACAAAAACTGAAACCGGAGACAATACACCGGAGGCTGATAGTAAAATACATGGTATTCTTATGTGTAAGCATGACAGTCACCACTGTACGTGTACACAATGGACATGGTTGCAATCCACATGCATGTACCCATGTATGAACTATTGATGCTGTGCTGCGTGTGCGTTCATGTGTGTTTGTGTACGCGTGTGGGGGAGAAGCATGAAGAGATAACGACAAACATAAAAAGAGAGTGATGAAGTGAGGGAGGGAGGATGAGTGGGAGTGAATGAGAAAAGCGTTGTTATATAATTAGCTAACAGTACTAAGGACTCAATGCACACACACACCTACACACACAGGTGGCAAAACTGGTTCACCAGCTCCCACCCACACACATTCATAAAATTGAGTGAATGACAGACTGACTAGGTGACAGTAGTCAAACTGCACAAACAGAAAGGCAACCAGAGATTCACCCACAACTTCTGAGCTTTTGTTTCCATTCAGAAATTTAAAGTTACTTGAATTAGAAACTCAAAGACACTACCCAAAATCTACTTGGCAAGAAATATTACTCAGTGTGAAGCATTAAAGATTTAGTGTTGTTATTGGCCCTGTGATGGACTGGCGATCTGTCCAGTATGTATGGCCTCTTTCTGTCAGCTGGGATATGATCCAGCCCCACTGCAATACTAATTAGGTATGTGGTTAGAAAGTAGACAGATGCACATGTGTTGTTTCTGGCTATAGCAATACACTCTGTAGGCAGATATTATTCATCTGCTATGTCAAGCCACAACAGGCGTAGGTAAAAATTATTATATGAGCTCTACTTTACCGTGTGGAAAAATTAAGTAGCAACAAAGGAAATAAAAATGAAATCTAAAAATAGAAATGGTGGTGTACTAATTTAAGAAAAGACGCTTACTATTAATCATGGACAAAAAACAAGACAAGATTAATTTCAAAGGTCAGACAGGCGGTAATATAGTTTTACATCTATATGATTGACGATACAATACAGTTAAAAAGCAGATTATGGTATGTTTGTAGTGTCAAATGTGTCTGCAAAAGGGAAACAACTAAGGATACAGAGCAGAACCACCTGACAACCACTGCTCATAAGACAAAAATATATATGTATGTATTTTCTTCCAATTAAATTGCTTTTCAATTGCTTATCTGTTTTAAACATTTATCTATAATTATCTGAGTACAAAGTATCTACTGCTTACCCATTATTTTTAGTTAATATTTCTAACCTATTCAGGTGCACTCAATCTTATAATTACATCATAATATCTGCTTTTTTCACCACCGGCACTTGAGGTCATTTTTACCCATTTAACCACTGGCTACTACAGAAGTAACCCTGGAGCATTTGCACCCCTGTTTAGGAACGACTAAGCTATTTCGGTTCATTGACATAATTTCTGCTCTTAAACTGAAAAATGTTTTTAAAAAAATCCACGCTCTGCTTTTATATGAAAGTACCACAGTGGTTCAACATGACTCAAACACATGTATGACATATTTCCATACAGAACCACACATCCAGGCCACCCACATACAGAAATAACACTAAATTCTGTGCTATATAAGCACATGTGCTTTAAGACACACGATACCAGCTATCAGCTCTCTGAGATGAACTTGTCACATTTTGGGCTGTCTTGTGACCCATGTTTAGAGCCCCGTCTGCCGACAGGCCCTATAATCTGTGGCGGGGACACACAGACAACCACAACCAGCAGCTACACACTAATTTAATACACTTGGAATGGTCACACATTCTTACAGACACATACATTTGGGAACTGTGAATCTAATTCTGTCCACACGAATGTTGCAAGAGGTACTGATGCTGAAAAAGGATTGCAACGCCCATTTTGAGAAAAGGTACAGTACCGTGCAAAAGTCTTGTGCCATCCTTCATTTCTTTAGGAGCCTGAGGTCCATGTATTTTTTTAAAGTGGTCTTAAGCAATAGTTCCCCAGGCTTCCTGAAAGTCAAAGGCTTTCTTTGGACATTCACTACTTTTTCTCTTATTTTCACTGCAGTACTCATACCTGACCATTTTCAAAGGAATATTCTTTTGTTAATCATTCAAGCACCTAACTCTAGGAATGAATGTTGAATAATTTAGTTTCTACACATATAGAAAGCTTAGCAAGGCACCAAGTTTTAAAATGTACATTTAAGCTTTTTGTTACTAGCAGCCTGCACAAAAATACATTATTTGCTCCTGTTTTTTTTGTTAGCTGAATCTATGAAAATTGCCCAGTATAACACAGTTTGACAGGCATAAAGTAATACTTTTGCACCAATAGTGTGCTGCAGAAAAACCTTTTGGATGACATATCTGGACATGGTGCGTCGTGTGTCCCTAAAAAACAAATGTGAACGTTTTTGTTCAAATTACCAGGAGAGCGGAATAACAGCGAGTGTCTACAGACATCTGTAAAATACGGCTGAGGCTGTGACTCTTGAGAACTTTGTACAGTACTATAGTTTGTAGACTATTTATAATCACCAATTAAAGAGGAATTCACATACGGTACACAGCATCTCTAACTGTACATGGACCATTCTAAAATATGATTGTCTAATATTTGGTGGGTTTGTGATCTCAAGCTTTAAGTTGAGACTGCAAACACTTTTCAAAGTCTCTTTGGGCGGGATAAGGGTACAGTTTGTTGCATCAGAAAATGACTTGGTTAAGAAGAAAGGCTTGGTGAGCTTACCTACCTGCTGATAAGGAAATCATGCATCACATCCATTTCTAATTTAATATGAGACTTCAGGTCAAA